AATAGATTTCTGTGTCACTTTTTGCTCTCCTCATTTGATTTCTGTGATTTCCACCATAAATGGTGTCAACATCATTAGAAGTTGATTATTCAGACTAATTTTCTCCTTTTTTTTTTTTTTTTTCTCACAGAAGATAAATTTCATGTTTGGATTATCAGAATCCTTTCTACAGAAGATAAAGAGCTAAAAGTACAATATAAAACTGGTTCCTTTTATAATTTAAAAAAAAAAAAAATCATTCCAGGAGGTGTTCAGATTACTAAACCCTGATTAATTTTATTAATTCAAGCTTGCTTGATAGTCTTCATGAGTATAATCCGTATGGAAAGAGATGTGTGGTAAACAAAAGCAAAACTTCCTTCTCTTTCCTTACAGACCGTATTCATTTCATTTTATTTTATTTATTTATTTTTTTTTTAATCATTTCACCCCAAGCAATGCAATAAAGCCACTATGACGAAAGGAGTTAATGAAAGGTAAAGAGTCTGAGAAAATTTTGAGGAGAAAGGACAAGAACATAATTAAAAAATATTGTAGTTAACAGGAAAAGTGAGAAGAGAATTCCATGTGTGAGAGAAGAAATTATTAGAATAGAACTTAGTTACATCTAGTAATTTTGATAGTGAAATTATGAGACCTAGCTACCATTCTATTATAGTATTGTGCTTATATGTGATGAAGGCTGAAGAATAGATTGATTGATACAACAAAAGTAACGTAATGAGTTTAATAAGCCTCAAAATACCTTGCAGAGATCAAGCAACTTTGCTGCATAATGCAGTCATTTAATTAAGAATGTTGTGTATGCTATAAAATAGTATTAGTGAAACTGTTATAATTAAATTGAGTTAAGTTTATACATTTTTATAGTCCTTTATTCCATATTAGATTTTCAAAATATATGAAAATTTATTAACATTGCTTACTTTCTAAATGCTAAGGGCAAAAATGAGTTCATCTAATTATAAAAGTAATCTGTAAAACAACCATTTATTTATAAAGCTCACAAAAACCAGATGGGAAAACTTATTTTTAAAATTTTGATTTTTAAAACTGAATATACAAATTAGTTATTTCCATTAAGAAGCATTTAGTTGGGCATGATATAAGACATGCTGGTAGATTTAGATAAAGCCATATTTCATATCAGTTATATGTAACATTTACACATGTATAGATAATTAACTTTATCTTAATCTCCAGGGTTTAGAGCCGACACACTTTAAGCTTTAGATATTAGATTTTCTATAAGAAATTTACACATTTATTTCATGTTCTTCATCAAATCTTTCTTTTTGCTTGTCTAACATTAAAAACCAACTGAATCAGTAAGTAATATTTTGCAATCAATAATTTGGTGATTTCAGAATCCTGAAAAATCACCGAGGATGATTTTCTTAGTTTTAGTAATATTTTTTTTGTGATGGTAATCTTAGTAATGTAATTATAGGGAGAGTGACAAAATGATTGGTACCTAAGAAATTTTAAAATCAGATTTACTTTTTCTATGCTATTTGAAGCTGTCCCAAACTTGACATAGATTATCATGAATGTTACTTTTACTGAAGAATTAATTTATAATCCATGTAAAAATTTTAAAGAATGTCAGGTAATTTATCATGAAATTTCAAAGACTGGTTCTAAAGCTCTGTAACTGTAAATATACTGTAAATATAGAAATGTATTTTTATTACTTTTCTAAAATAAAACAAGGATGTACAACAGGTAAATAAAGACTTCTTAATCATAAGAGGAAAGTATTCGTGAGTTAGTTTTGCAAACTTTGTTTCATTCTTAAAATTATAGAAATGTTGGAATAGACACAACAACAAAGGTAGCTTCAGTGCTTTTGTATGAACTTCAATGTGTGATTTTTTTTTTTTTGAGCTCTCAGAATAACTCGCTTCAAAATATCAGATACATAAAAGTCACAAGTTATCAAAGAACATCTCAACACTACCATTTCAGCTGACAATAATCAATATATAACTAGTCAAAATTAAATATTCACTTAAAGGACTTTACCATTAACAGGGATTTTTAAGAGATACACTATATGCTTTAAAAATATAAATGTTATATCTTTTGAAGTTAAAGTAGAAAATTGTGACACCCTCCATGTTCTTGGATTGATTAATTTGTTGCTTGCTTTTTTTTTTTTTTTTTTTTTTACAGCTTATCAACCTTTTGTGGGTTATTTTACAAAAAAAGAATTGTCCTTGTTCAATCACTGAAGTTAAACAGTGTCAAGCCCAGTCAGTACTTAGATGGGAGACCACTTGGGAAAACAGTGTACTGTTTCAGATTTAAATAGCCCACAAAGGGTTGACAAACCATGAAAAAAGAATCAGTCAATTGTGGGTTATTTAAAACAAAAACATTTTGAATTGTAGGAATAAATTTTTTTATTTAGGATACCAGTTTTTCGGAGAGATAAGGCCTACAGTAATGGTGGGGAGATAGATGCATACCTTTCCCAAGGTTATTTGTGTGTAAGTGAATGCAACGAACCTGACTGATGTTCAAATTTGACTCTCTGATTTCTTATTTCTCATTAGACTACATGAACATCTATGTTCTTGAGGTTGGGAGGGGGGAACGTCTGGAAGCATATTGAAAATAATTTTTGTTTACATGGATTTTTCATATATGAATACTTACTACAAATATATATATATAAGTTATTGGCTCAATCCACTTCCTAAAATCAATATTTCAATAACCAAACATCAGAATACTTATTCTCAGAAGTGTGTAGGGCCAAGAATCTTTTAGAACCCCTTGTAAATATACAATGCCATTTAATTACATTGGTCAGTGATGATTAAAAACAAAGAAAGATGTACTCAGTGTAAAAGTTATGTTAATATAATTCTTTTTTTTTCTGTAATTCTTTTTTAATAAATGTATTAATATCTTACAGTATCGATCTAGGCCACTTGCCACATTGTGATGATTAGTAGGTTAGCTTTGCAGTTCAATTCTCATAAGTTATGTCAGTATTGTGTCTTGCTTGTGCTAAGCTTAGTAAATAACTTAATCTCATATCAGATTAAGCTAAGCTGAGTAAACATCCATCTATACAAATCTATTTGTTATAATGTTCCATAGTTTATGTTTTCATCCTCTTGGAAGCCAATTCCAAAGAAATAATGAAGCACATTCTTTGTTTCTAATAGTGAACAAATACATAGAAATTTGAAGCTTTTGTTTTAGCTTTAATTGAAAGCTAAATGATTTAAAATTTTCAGAAATTCTGCACATCACACATACAAAAACAAATCAAAATTCTTTTAAAAATATTTGGGGCTGTCAGATTGTAATAAGCTTTACAATATATGATTAGTAAATATAGTTTTACTTAATAACAATATTTCCTAAGAATTATCACATTGAAAATGAATTTTAAAAGATTTAAAAACTTTATAAATTATTCAATTTAAAATTGTAAAAAATGAAAACAAATCTTGTAAAATTTCATTTTTCCCTGAAAAAATTTTTTTTTTCTTCAGACAATATTGTCTTTAATATATGTTATTCAATTAAAAGCTTCTCTAATTAAGTCATGTCTTAGTTTTATTGTGTTCTTTATTTTTCAATCCAGAACACATTTTTGGTAAGATGGGGTCTGATTTTGCAAAAAAGAATTTGGTGATTTAAATTCTTCAAAGAATTCTATTTTTAACTAATATAGTCACTAAAAATTATTAGGTTGAATTTCTCAAGATTTTATAAAATTAAGGGGTTGAAACACATGTAAAAAAAAATATTTCTACCGTGATTTTTTAATAAAAAATTTTTTTAAAAAATAATTTCATTCATTTGTGAATAAGTTCTGAAAATTTCATTAAAACCTGATAATTATTTGATTTTTGCAAGAATTTCCAAATTAATGTGTCTGTCACCGCAAAGAAAAGGCTAAAATTTGCTATGCTAAAAGTTAGTCAACTACTGATGCAAGAAAAACAAGTTTTTTAATCAAAATTTTGAATGTTCTAAAACAGAGTAAAAAATTGAGTTCAGTCAGTTATGTGCCATATGTGATGCACACTTAGGCAATCATGTATCTTTTGATACATGACTGACAAGGCAGATTTTTTCCCGCAGTAGGTTGTCATTTTTTTCTGCAGTAGACCAGTTGCCATCCAAGACTACAGAACTTGGTTTATCCTGCTATTTACCCATAGCTGGAGGGAGAAGAAGAGGATTCATACCTTTCCCAAAGTTATTAGCACATAAGTGAATGTAACGGATTCAACTGAAATTCAAACTCGTCTCTTTCGATTCCTCAATCCAAGCTGCTATCCATTACTCCACCGTAATCAAAAAATACCTTTATCCTTTCTCTTAATAATAATGATCTGTATGATAAAACTATGTTTTTGTTATGTTTGAAGCAGGTTTTCATCAAATTATCATGATTTAGTGTTTTCATGGAAGTATCCACATAAAAATCATAACAAAAAACACTGGGTGAAAAAGTGATAAACAAGATAGTTTTGAAAACTTTTGCATGTCGAGTGAATTTACTTGATTGTCTAGAATTGTGGCTCTGTGCCTGACTAAGCTGAGTAAATATAATTGGGAAACATTCAGCCTACAAGATACCTTATATTTGTTTGGTGAAATTCTAAAGTGGTCATTATGTGATGAATTATTCAGACATTTATCTCCAAATTCAGTGGTAAGTTCTTCAGCCATCTCCATGTTTGTATCTGGTACTTTTCAAATTGTTTCTCAACCATTACATCTTTGAAGTGATAAAGAGTTAAGCTGATACTCTGGACAGTTTAATCTTTATCTCAGTATAGCACCAAACAAATTTTTGCTGCTTAGATCAGTGATGAGATGGAAGTTGAGAAAAAAAATTATAATATTTCTGGTTACAGCATACATGTGACAAAGACCAGTGTTCATCAGCCCAAATAAAGTGAGGTAGTCATCAGGTCAATCATTTAGTATGTTACATAATCAAAATATTCAGTCGGCATTTAGAGCAGTTAGTGGTTATCTAAGCGGCTGCAATCTAAATTGGATGACCATTTCAATAAGTCATTCACTTCATTATCGTTTGGTTCTAATCGTGCACTTGAGTTCTTTAGAGCTGCATTCATCTGATCTACAAAATATAGACAAATTTTATGTTAGAATAAATGAAATGCATAAAAACAGTTTCAAAAATAACTTGTATGGCCATGGAACAATGGTTAGCAAGCTTGTCTTGCAAACAATTACTCTTATAGTATATTCATTTCTAATTGGTTGTTTTAATGCTTATTCTATATTAAGCTAAGTTTAGTAATTACTGAGATTTTGAATTCCGCCTGTGCAGCCTATTTAACTCTGTAGTACCAATGATCACCAATCAAGCCAGAATTTTGCTAACTTTCAAGGCAGGTAGAACTTTATAACTTGGGAGATTGGTGCAACACAATCTTCCAACTGCCTTTTTCTCTCATTTAGCCTTATGTCATATTAGGAAATTAGAAATGTTGGTAAAATTTATTTGTAATCTGTTTAATTTTTATAAAGTATCTGCTGTCATGTGATGGTCAGTATCCTAGGTTAGAAATCTATTGTTGGAGAATTCAGCTTGTTATTTGACAAATGAGAGCAGGTGACAAAGTTGACTTAGTCAAACAAACATCTAATTTAATTTTTATATATTTTCTTTACAAAAACTTGTGCATTTCTTAATCCCCATCATAATATAAAAAAAAATCATTTTGTCATTAAAAAAAGAAATAAGATAAAGACAAGGGAATGACAAGAAGTCCAATTAAGTTTTATAGGAAACAAAAAAAGGTTTAACCATAATTTTAGTGATTATGGCCAGTGGCTAAAAAGGATAAGACATAAAGGCTTACGAGCAAGAAATTAGAAATACGTCAAAATAACTTCAGTCAGGAGTTGCTGGATTTTTGTGGCATAGTTTACAAGTCAGGTCAGTAAATGGTAGTAAACAGACAGCTCTGAAACAGATTTCTACAACAACTGACTTCACCAGCCAACTCACTTAATTTTAGCGCCAAGCAATGAATACAAATATGCAGATGAAAGACCTCCACTTGTAAGATCATTTGACCACATCAAAGACTTCTTTGAAGGCTTTTATCCAAATGATGCAGAACTCAGAGAAGTTTAATTCATGAAAATAGATTCTCTTAACTGTGTGTATTTTATAATAATAAAAATGAAAAGGATTCCTCTCCATAGAGCAGTGGCTAGTAAGTGACTTTTGTAGACAATTACTATAATACTGAATATAATCCCCACTAGGTATCTGTCATTCTTTCCTTTCAGCTATTCTGTTCTGTCCATGTATTAAGGTGTTAATATATTTTGGATATATTAATGCCTTTAATGGGGAAATGAAACTTGGAATAATCTGTCTTGCAAAGCACCTCTATTATCAGGTCATCCCATAAGTTCTGTCCGAATTTTACCTTTTTTTTAAAATGAACGAAATTTAAAGAGTATTTTATAATGTCTAATGAAGCTAAACATTATTTTTGTGTTTAGATGCATTTAAACTGATCAAATTTTATTTCAGAGAACAATAAAATTAAATTTTGTTTGATTAAAACCCTGCTAACATGGAAGTACCCAAGAATCATTTGAGGCACATAATGCTTTGAGTTCAAGAAAGGAAACTCAGCAGCTGAAGCGGCTAGAAACATTCACTCAGAGAGGAATGTGTGAATGAAAGAACTTGCAGAAGATGGTTTGCAAAATTTAGAGGTGGAAATTTCACCCTTGAAGATGAAGATTGAACCAGACGTCCAGTTGAGTTTAATAAAAAGCTTCTTGAAGCAGCCCTTAAAGAAAATCCTGCTTTATCAGTTGAGGAATTGGCAGTGGTTCTCAGTTCAAACCATACAACTGTTCATTGTCATCTTCAACAACTTGGAAAAGTTCCTAAACTTGGAAAATGGGTGCCTCATGAATTGTCTGAAAACAACCTCAAATCCTGAGTTGACATCGGTTCTTCTCTCCATTCTCGCCAACTTATTTCACCTTTTTTGGATAGACTTGTGACTGGCAACGAAAAATGGATCTTTTATCGAAATGTTAAGCATCATAGACAGTGGCTTGGCAAAGGGGAAGGACTCCAGCCACAGCTGAGAAGGGAACTTCATGGGCAAAACGTTCTTCTTGCAATCTGGTGAGATCACCAAGGAATAATCCACTTTGAATTCTTACCACCTAATGCAGCAATTAATGCTCAAATATACTGTCAGCAATTAGAGCGTTTTGAACCAAGCTTTGAGGAAAAAAAAAGACCTGCTCTAGTGAATCGAAAAGAGGTGATGTTTCATCAGGACAATGCGCGACCCCACACAGCAAGAATCACGTCACAAAAAGATCGAAGAACTTGGTTGGGAGAAAATTCCTCATCCACCTTATTCTCCCGATCTTTCTCCTTCAGACTACCATTTGTTTCGTAGCTTACAGAATCATTTGGAAGAAACAGCTTTTGTAACACAGGAAGAGGTTAAAACTGACATTTGTGAGTTCTTCGAATCAAAGCCAAAAGAATTTTACAGTAATGGAATTAGTAAGCTTGTTAATAGATGGAAGGAAGTCATAGATAATCAGGGAAAATATATTGTTGATTGAATCTGTAATTAAATGTAACATTTGGTCACTTGTTTTCTTTATTCAAAATTCGGACAGAACTTATGGGATGACCTGATACAACACATGTATTTGCTTTTTGTTTAGCTAAACTTACTATTTTTTTTAGGCCATGAGTATGAGGCACACAGTGAGGATCAAACTTGTTAAGCTATTTGGTCTGCAAGATGAGCTTAGTAACCATCGTACTATATAAGTGACCTACATGTCTTTAAGACTTAATATTTTAAACTTTGAATATTTCATCAACTAAATTAGTTCCAATTAATGTCAAAATCATAATTCATAATTACCTGACAAACTGTGCAAATAAAGTTTTTTCATTTTTCTCAGATTTGTTAAACGTTCTTTTTTATTGTCCTTTATCTTGTTCTGTTTAAAATTACCATACATTAAAATGGACAACCTAGAAGGAAATAAAATGAGGAGCAGTCAGAAATAGGAAAGATAGATGAAAAATGGTGTGTTGAATATATTTAGATCTAATACACTTCATTACAGTAAAGATTTTAAATCTTTAAGTTGTAAAGTAATTTAGTTGAGCATATATCATTGTTTAAAAACAGCCAAGAGACAAGAATGAATTAAAAGAAAATTAGCTTAGAATCTGCAATAAAGTTCATGGATTAAGGAAATATTATATATATATATATATATATATACACACACACACACACACACAAGGTGTGTAAAAAATATATACACACTTTTACATTGTATAATATCATCCTTGTTCACTGGACCTCACCCTTTTAGATTTTCTTGTGATGATACTTAAAAGATAAAGTCCATGCAATTGCTGAAATAAAAGTTTACAGAGGGCAAGAATGCAGCCAAATACCTATCAAAATGTTGATTGCTGCAGGTGATTTCATTGCGTTGCATTGTCAGCAATATCTGGATCATAATAAACATCAATTTGAAAATGTGATGACAAAATCTAAAGAGCATATATTTATAATAAATTCTGTCTTCATATGCATTATTTAAATTAGATATAGTGGGTTCTAGTTGCTTGAACGATTTCTTGAGAAACTTTCAAAATGTATATAATTTTTTTCAATTATATATATATATATATATATATATATATATATATATATATATATATATATATATATATATATATATATATATATTCATGAAAGGCATGGTGGAGTAATGGATAGTGGCTTGGATTGAGGAATCTTTTTGCAGAGTTTAAATTCAATTGAATCCAATTACATTCAAAAAATAATAATACCCTTGGGAAAGGTATAAATCCTCTTCTGCTCCTCCAGTTATGGGTAAATAGCAGAACTGGGTTGGGTGTGAAAAAATTATTTGTTGTCAACATTATTTTTTTTCTTCAGTTTTTCAGTTAATAGTCCTTTTTTTTTCATGATCGTTTTGTGTTCATTTTGTTTAGTTCTTTTTTTTTGTAATATTTAATGTTTAGTATAGATTTTTTTAGAAAAATTCACAGTGTGAGATTGGCAAGAAGTAAAAATGTAGCAACATCAGCACACCAAAGGGCACTCCTTTTTAAAGGCAAGGAAGGGCAAAAATATTTTTTTTCTCAAATGATAGCGATTGCTGTATATTATTCATATTTTTATTTTTTGAATCAAGCATTAAACAACAGGCCAAAATGCTAAATTATAGTATATATATATATATATATATATATATATGCATGTGAAAATTCATTTATAACAATAATAGAGATTTCAAATGTGGAATGCACATCACTAATCAGAGTGCTTAATGCAGTTAACGTTGGTAATCACTTAATCAATATTACAATTTTCTGTGGATACTTGGCAAAACTATTCTCAGAATAAAGATGTGTCTTATATTTTGAAAAATATGGTAATTTTGATTGGTTACTAGCATATTTTCTTGTTTCTTTGTTGATATATATTTGATTGATGATAAAATTATAAATTAGAATTGCAATTCACTTCTTTTTTTTTTTTCCATAACAAGGGAGATAATTAGTCATTGTAGGTAACATCAAATCATTTCATTTAAATAAAGAAAGCATAATCTTAAAAAGAGAACATACTCTTCTTGCTGTTCTGGTGAAATTTGCTCTGATAGTTTTTCCAGTTTTTGTCCAGTGTGCATTTCATACAATTTGGAATTTTTCTTTAAACTTTCAAGATCTAAAAAAAAAAAAAGAATCAGTAAAAAGAAATTATTTTTGAAGAAAAAGTTTTACATCTTCAACTCAAAAGTATTTTAGAACTAACTTTTTCAATATTTCCTTAGTAATTTACACTATTTATATTCAAATTATTGTTCTCATCTTTGTTATTGCTATGACAGTCTTTCAACTGTTGTGCTCTCCAGCCTTCATCGGGTGTATATTAATCTGGGTAACTTCTGAACTGAACCATTTATTTAATCTAAACTTTTCTCATTCCACTGCCCATATCTTGGGATATCGTCTAGTTCCCATTTTTAGTACTGCTCAGTTATTGCCCACCCATTTCCATTGAGTCCAAGTACACACTACCTGGCCCAGACATTGAACTCACAATTACTGTCTCCAAAGTCACAAACCAACATTTTAATCCACTAGATCCCTTAAGCCCTCGATTATGAGAGATAGTGAAAATACAAAATTTACTAAAAGCTACAAAGGACAGGAAATTGTGGAGAGCTACGATCAACCACATCATGAATAGACATGGCAAAAAGAAGAAGAAGCTGTTAAACAACAAAATGGTTTATTAAGCTTAGTGGTGGTACAAGATCACAAATATGGAGCATTTAGTGAGAATCACTGTAGTTTGAATGAAAGGAAGAAGAAAAAAGTGGAATGTTGTTTACCTCATGGTGGGGGAGAAGAAGCAGTGACAGGTAATTTCTTTTATAGAGAGACATTATGGTACACTGGGTAAAAAAAAACTATGCTAAGGAAGAAAAGAAACTATAAAACTCAATCAAAAATATAGTAGGTGATTTTGTTTCATTTTGGTGAACTTGGTGAAGTTACATACATCATTTAAGAGGAAAAAAAAACATGACAAGAAAACAACTTGCAAGAGATGCTGAGGAGGAAGGAGATTTGAGATTTGAGAATAAGGAAGGATGAGAGAGATCCTGGGAGATGCACCAAGTCCCAATTACTTCCACACTTGGTTTTATTTTACATATATATATATATATGTCATATTATATGTTTTTTTCACTGAAAATATTTCCTCGCATGTATGTACATGTGTGTGGTGGGGTTTGATGCATATGTATAGATATAACACCATATATTATATATATATATATATATATATATATATATATATATATATATATATATATATATATTATAAATTAATTGATTTAAAATATGGTTTTTTCACTACACAGTTCTAACCATGTTTCAAAAATGGAAGCTAAAAGCCCCGAATTTAATTTTATGATTAAATTAAAGACATTAGTTCCATTTCATTCTCAAGCGAATTTTGGAGTAACTTTTTAAAATTACTGGGTTTTAAATACACAGCTAAAACAAAATTCATGTTTCCAAGGTTACAGATAAATCTATTTTTCTAGACAGGGGTGGCTGGGTTTTCAAAATGTCTATAATTTAATGTATCAGTTATAGTCGTGGGAAGGGATGTATTTTTCAATGAAATCTAACTTCCGTTAAAAGCCTGTCATCTAGATTTTTTTAAAATTATATTGTTAACAGCTAATATTCTTACGGCAGTTTTTTTCTTATATTTAAAGATTGGGGGGGGTAGGTAAGAATACATTTTATTTATGTACGATTTGAAATATTTTTACTTTTAATTTTTAATATACTATATTTCTTTCAAGAACAATTAAATGTAATTAGAATCCCTTACAGTTTGTAGAAAAATTATCATATCAAGTATATTACGATTTTTTAAAAATTTTATATTTAAATATTACTAAAGTAAAATTTTCATTTCTCTGATTTAGTAGACTTTATTTATTTATTTAATTACAATTTAAAAGAAGTTTAGGTTAGAATTCATTTTAAATTAACTACAATTTTAATTACAACTTTAAAATATTTTCATTATTAGTTTTTATAGACTATATTTCATTTAATAGAAGTAAATCAGAGTTACTTACCGTCAGTAAAATTATTTTTCTATATCAAGTATATTTATATTACGATTTTTAAAATTTTATATTTAAATATTTTTTAAGTAACATTTTTTATCTTTACGGCAAAATAGCTACTTCATTTCTCTAATTTAGTAAACTTTATTTATTCATTTAATTACAATTTAAAAGAAGTTTAGGTTAGAATTCATTTTAATTAACTACATATATATATATATATATATATATATATATATATATATATATATATATATAGTTTCAAACCACAATTACATAACAAGATAACCTATAAAGTGTTTGTGCAGAGGCCAAGATAATGTACATATTTTGTATTTATCCTCAGTTCATATTATAATGGAATCAAACTAATATTTGAATTTGTTTCATTATTCTCTATACCATAAAATGGTTTGGAACAGAAGTTTTAGTTTCAACTAAAATAAAAGTCATTTACATTATTCAAACTGTTATCCTCATCTTCATTACCATATTCACAATGTTTCAGTCATTGTACGCTCCAGCCTTGTTCAGATGATTTGAATTTCAAACTGAACCCTTTATTTCCATGGATCTGTGAATAAAGGCATTGGTTAGATCTAATGACTAGACCCAATGAGTGTGAGTTTACTACCAGGCAACAGCAGTAGTGAACCAAAACTTGGAGAGTTGAGTTAAAAGAAAATAACTGAGACATCCAGAGGAGGCATGTCACGTGGAACTAGAACAATTTACCCCAGTGGACAAAATAAAGAAATTCCAATCACCTGAGGAAGGCCAGAGCATACAATGGCCAAAACGTGAATATGGCAATGAACATGAGGATAACAGTCCAAATAATGTAAATAATCATCTCAGAGATATAGAGAGATATTAAAATAAAAGTCATTTTTAAAACTATTCTCAGCATGACACTTATTTCTTTCATTCATGGCTTCCAGAACTTTGATCTTCTAAGAGATTTTGATAGTGAATTTAATAACCTCCCCACCACACATGCACACACACACACACATATATATATATATATATATATATATATATAACTTTTTTTTTGTTTACTACAACTATGAAACTTTTTGGTTGGTTTTATTGTCATTCCATTTGCTTTTCTTTATCTTATTTCTTTTGTTGCACACATGACGCTATTACTTATAATAAATATACATTTTCTCCTCACTGTTTGATAAAACTCTTGCGTTTCTGGCATACAACAATCTGCAGGTACTAAATGTGTCAAATGGTGAGGAAAAAAATGTATATTTATTATTAATATCTTTATATATATATATATATATATATATATATATATATATATATGAAGAAATATTGTCTTAAGATGTGCTATATTTATGGGATAAAGTGCTCAATATCAAAAATAGAGCATGTGTAAATATAAAAGTGAACATAGATAATTAAAAAAAAAAATGCTTCGTTACTTAAAAATCAAAAACTGAAAAGAGAAAATATATAGTATAACAAATAAATAATAACAAATAAAATAAATTGACCTAAGTTCATCCAAATAAATAAATAAACTAATCCCGATAAACTAACTGTTAGAAAAACAAATAAAGATAATCAATCCAAATAAATACATGAAGTAATAAACAAATTAAAAACTGTTCCTGCCAAAATAATAGCTAGAATAAACTACAACAATCAACCCCAAAAATTGAATAAATAGCTTTAATTATCTTCCCAAACTAAAACAAAACTATTAAATAAGTGATATAAACAAATTTTTACTATGCTATTAAAAACACTGATTAAAAAATAAATAAATATATTAGATAAGAAATAAAAAAAATAAAAATAAAAAATAAAAATAAATAAAAACAAGCAAAATAATTTAACCCAAATAAATAAATAAACAAATAAATGACTTCCAGTTAAATAAGCGCCAAAATAGACTACCCACAATGCAACACTGTATATATATAAATAGCTGAGAAAAATAACAGCACTCATGGCCTGATGACTGCATCTAGCATGAAGCAGACTGTCGCCTCTAAGTGTTGACTTCTATGTTCACTTAATATATATATATATATATATATATATTGAGAGAAAGAGAAATATTGTATTTGATAGGGCATAAACCAAATGATCATGGCTAGCAAATTCATCTCACAGGTCATAGATAGTGATTGCAGTCCTATGCCACATGAAATTAAGCTTTGAAATAAGATGTGTCTAAATATAGGTATATATAAAATATTAATTTCAGATAAAATCTTTAAATAGTAAAATGCATTTTCATTGAGCATATATTATTGTCTAGTTTTACATAAATAACACTACTTCAATTGAGAACACATTTGTGAATGGCAGGAGAATGGATTGGAATAGACTCTACAAATAAAGACCATGTTTTACAATGATCACTTTCATTGGAAATGCTACAGAGTAGCAGAGAGCAAGATAGAATGCCTCAGTACTGAAAACCCATGCCATACAGAGCTAAATTTATTTATATCATTGACTTTTCATTTTCTCATTTTTCTCATTTGTGTTGTTATTATCACAGGGTGGAGACTCTGAAATCAAGTATTGTTGATCATGTGTGGAGGGAAAAGCTAGAGTTTATCAACTCCTGTCGAATGAAGTCAGAATAATAAAGAGTAACACTGGTAAATAGGGAGATTAAAAGAATCAGCACACATGATCGGCTCTGATAACCACATCAGTAGGCCAAGCATAGAAATGAATATTATATAGGGCCTTTGATCAGGAAAAGGACAGGCATTAGGTTGTAAGAATTATTTTAAATATGAGACTGGATCAGTTAATTTGTTTTTGGGTGTGGTACTAATGTTTTGATTGCTTGCCTTGTTTTTTTTTTTGTATTTATAAACTGAAATCATTTGCACATGTGGCTTTCATTATATATATAAAACTAGTCTGACAAGCCTTCATTATTGATTCCCCTCATCCAAGACAACAGGGGTGTTGCTAACTTGATTTTGTTTGGCCTGACTAGCAACTTACTTGGCCTGAGACTTCATTTGAGACTTTATTTTTCTGAGACCTGTTGATATGGCAAAATGTGACCTTCCATTGTTTTTTATCCTTTATTAGGAAAGTTAGAGTTAAATTTCTGCTCCCAATGCACGTGTTGTTTGACCTTGCCTTGTTAAGTTCTTCTTTTCAACATAGCAGCAACTCCTCAAAACCACAATTTCTTTAATTTTAGGTTGGTGGTAGCAGGGAGATAGTTAAGTTCACTAAAGTTTAAGGATCCAAAATTACACCATCTATAGATCACTGATCTAGTGGATAAGTGTTGGTTAAATGCTGCAATTTACTTAGTGGTTGTGAGTTCAATCTGTGTCAAGAGCACATATCCACACACAACAAATCCTTGGATCAGGCTGTGTAATCCATATATTCATTAGAATGAGCAGAAATTGTATCATAAGGACAAATTAACCAAAGACAAAATAATAGAAAAATTAAGAACAGTCTACTCCTATGAATTTAATAAAGGGTTTTGTTTGAATTTTTGAGACCATTACCAAATAAAACAGAAGGGTATAATGGTCTAAACAGTGTAACTATAGCAACCAAGATGAAGGTAACAGTTTGCATAAATCAGTGTATAATTTAAAGAATAAATATATGACCAAAATAAATATAAGTAAAACTTACAAGAATTTTCTAAGTCTGCTTTTGCTTTACAAGTTGCAATATCTGACCAGGTGAAGTGATAATCTTCAAAAGAGACTTTGTTAAAGTTACGATGTGTTTTCTGTGTTACTTGCATGTTTTCTGTGCCTTGATTCAAAACAGGAATCTGCTTCAAAGACTTGTATTCATCTTCAATGTCAGGATTAAGGCCAACTGAAAGTGAGAAAAAGTAAATTATAAGTACCACAAATTGCAGTGTACAAGTCAAGTTTTCAAGCCTAAAAAATCTTTCCAAAGCTAGGGGGTCGTAAAACTTGTTTGGTGAACATATTTGGCATATTAACACAGAAATTAATATAAAATAATAAAATAGTAACACAAATTCTGTATTTTATTAACACTACTGCACACATCATGTTCAACAGTTGATACACTAAGACTGAAACACAATTTAACTCAGGTGGCCATTCAGACAACTAGCTATTGTATGTGTGTCATTTACGCAATTTCATGATAGTAATGGCAGTAATATTTTATCAGAGTTGATGTTGACTTTAATGTATTTGTCAGTAGACCTGACAAATTTTAAATGTTTGCAAAGTTATCCTGATACAATGCATATAACGATATTAAGTTTAGTGTCTAAATATACAGGTAAGTGGTGTGACCTTGTGTAGTTTTGGTACAGGTTATCGGATACTGTAGCCTAACTTTATTTACTGGTAGGCCTAAGTTTTGAGCCACTGGTTGCCTACCGTATGTTTGTTCGACCTATATGATAGGTATAGGTCTAACCTAGAATTTTGAGCTAAAAATTTTGAGGTCAACTGTATGCCACAATTTATATTAATGCATCCTTTTCAAGTTTCTTTCAATAAAGAAATAATTTTTCCCTTGAACTTGTAATAAACTGACACTGATATAATTATCACTAAATTCTGTTTATAAAATATAAATTTTTATTTGATTTTATAGAAAATAAATTAAAGTAATATAAGTAATCCTAATTAAATTCTAGATTCACACACAAGAATTTTCACATATTGGGTCACCATATAATATAAGTATTGGGTCACCAAACAAGTTTTTTAAAAAAATGTATGACAAACATTTTCACACCACAATAACTGGAAGTCATTTTTTTTCACACCAAAGAAGGCAATAAAACCACTAAGATGCAAGGTGTTACTAAGACTTAAGGAAACTGAGAAAACGTTATGGTAAGGTAAGGACAATAATAAGCAAAACTAATTTTTTTAATCATATATGACTGATACAGAATCTCTTGCCAAAACAAAATTTCAGTCTTGCATATTTATAAGTCTATCATACATCTATGCTTTCAACATTGCTGCCACATCTGGTCTGCAACTTCTGCTATGTATTTAGAGATTCTTGATAAAATACAAAGAAGAATCTGCAATGTTATTGGCCCTGACCTGACATCTCAGCTTCAGTCATTTTCCCACTGCTGTATTGTAGCTTCTCTATACCTTTCCTATAACTTTCATGGTAATTGTTCTGATGAACTTTCCTCTATGGTATGAAAAAACAACAATTTAAAAGTCACTGGGATTGGATTTTTAAATTGTTGTTTTTTATTCCTCTCCCCCACAGACAAAAATTTTACATATGAGGACTAATTAGGACTTCATAGAGACTTTGTCGTATTAAGATGGCTGTAGCAAAAATGGTAAGTAAAAATGTATTGTTTTGGTGCAAGGAACACTGTGGTAGGTTTGGGTCAGTAATTGTGGCTAGCTATAAGACAGAAGACCAGCCTTCCCCCCACTTTTGGCCTTGTGCCACATTTTTGCATTTTGACAAAATAAATATTACTTTCCACTATAATACCTAGACTTTATGAACTTAAGCGCAGTACTAGATTGGCAGCAAGATTTCATCATTTTACAGTTGAAATGGCAAGATGTACTTATGGGAACGTAATGACCATATGGTTGTACATCTTGGAACAAGGAGGAGAAAGACAGTAAGGCAGGAAATGTTTGCTCTTTATAGACTTAAGCAGTGCCACCTAACAGTGTTTTTCGAACCCAAGTGGGGGTAATATCATATTTCCAGTTCTTTTATTCCTAGCATCATGGGAAAATATATTTTTTTTTATTCTTCATTATTATTATTTTACTTACCAATTTTATTTCATTTTCCCACAAGGTTTCCAACAAACCTAAGCTTGACTTTAATTCATTACTTTTCACAAAACAAAAATCATAGTGGAATTTCTCATTGATCAAATTTAACAACAGATGTAAGGTTCTGCCACAAATTTTGTAAGGAAGTCTACTTTGAATTATTTTTATCTGGAAAAAAATCTTACGCTCAATTTGTTGGCTGTGTCTTACACAATCAGCAATAATCTGCCTGTAAGCATGGGGTGATTCTATATACATGTCTTTTGCTTGCTTATTCAAGATGTTCCTTTCTAGTACAGGATGGCAGAGAAGATCCTACAAGTAAGAAGTAGAATTTGTACCATTATAAGGGATGCATAAAACATACATGAATGAAATGATTGATGAATTTAAAAGAAAAAAATTCAAAGTTTTACAAAACCTCTTCCTCCAAAACATATTTCATAAGTCACAAGTTATTCAGATTGATATTCTCATCTTTGTTTACAGAAACTGAAGTGCCAAGAATATATAAATCTTCCTTTCAACTGAATAACAACAGCTGTCTGATGTGGTAAAAAGTTTTTGTTTGGGTATTTTTTATCTAGGCATGTTACAAAGGGCTTTCCATGGCCAAGTTTGTTGAATGAAGTCTGCAACATGTCCCATACATTCTCAGTGGGGTTTCAATCTGATGAGTGTGGGGATGGGTCAATGGTGATGGTAATATTAGCTTTTTTTATAAGGAAACATTCAGTATGTATTGTATTGATTGAGCAGCCAGTACTGATATTGGTTGAAATTTGTAAAAAAATATTCTTAAGACAATTTTTCAGGAAAATAGGTTTCTCAAATCTGGCAACTGTTATCATTCTTTCCAGTATCAATGGAGCAATGGAGGTTTCCTTCGTAACCTTTTGTTTGAAGTAGTGTGGAATGTTGACATCCTGATTATATCATCAGTTTTTATTCGAGTACCTGAGAGTCAGCCAAGTGTTCCTAGAACCAGTTTCATATCACCATGCACGATAGATAGTTGTTATCTTGTAGGAATAAACCATTAACATCAGGAAACACTTGAGCATAAAGAGATACAAATTATGTGCATGAAAGATTCCAGATTTTAGTGGCCCTTGCATACTCCAAAAAATATACACTACACCATTACAGAGCAATTTACAATATGGTGATGGGCTGGATTAATAACCTTATGCTGTCTCTTCCACATAAAAACTTGACTGCTCAAATAGACTAGAAATGTGACTTGTCAGACCAAGTAACATGGTGCTTATTTTCCAGAGTGCAATGCTGATGATCCCAAGCCAGGCACAGTAACTGATGCCATGGTATTAATAATGATACCTTTGTTGGTTGGTACTACCAAATCTTATGGAATACAGTGAGTGCTCTACAGCAGGGGTGGCCAACCTTTTGATTCCATGCTCCAATATTTTGTATGATTAATTTAAATGCGCCACACAAACATTCACTTCCTTTCAGTACATGTTGTAATATGGACATATTTTAAAGTTATAATAAAATCTATTTATTTGAAAAATGTATGCTTATGACCAGGGGAGTATCCAGGAGTTTTGAAAGGGGGGGGGGCATCAATCAATGCTTTGACTTTTTTTTTTTGGCATAGTTTCTTTTCATCAAAAGGATGCAATGCGCCACTTGTAAGCATCCAATGCGCCACTTATGCCGCATGCACCACAGGTTGGCCATCCTTGCTCTACAGTACTTTGACCGGTGCCTTAGCATTAAAGTGGGATGTAATTTTATAAAATGTGAAACTACTCAAATATTGATATTAGGAACAGGACCCTCTCTAAAATGATAAAAAATCAATATTTTTCAAATCTGACAAATGCTATACCTTGAAGAACATCTAATGAACACTAATCTATAAAAATTGTTTCCTCTAAATGTTTTCCCTATTTTTTTTTTTAAAGGTGGACCAATTTACTTAAGTAGTGCCTAAAATGGCTGTCTTCAGTAAGTGGTTACTATCCTTGTTAGTTGCCAGTGACCCTTTTTCTGTATCACCTGTGTACACCTGCAGTTTTCACACACTCCTGAATATCTCTAAAATTCATATATTCCTGCTATATCCTTGCTACTAGAGAAAAATCTAGTACAATTACTACCTTGGTGATAGCATACTCAATATTTTGGACTTCAACAATTAATCATTCTTTGGTCAAACATTGTTAAATCTTGTCCACAGCCCATGATTACCATTGCTACACGACTTCTTTACTTATATGTTATCTATTTATTATTACAGTACTTTAATTTGAAAAATTTCATTAAAGATATTTCATCCCATATTCAAGTTACTGAGGAAAGCATACTATTGTAATAGAATTTTTTTGTAATTAGAAAATATCTTTTCATATCTGAAGTAAAAAGAATGTTCCTAGCCATTCCCATTGGGCATAGCTTTCAACCTAATGAAATTATTATTTATGTACAAATTGTTACTAATCTTTTTGTCCCAAAATTAAGTCTTAAATACCTGAGTACATTATACAGTAATCCATAATTCTTATGCTTTGGTTAAAAATCACATAGTTGTAACTTACTTAATTTAACTAAGATGAAGCAAATACAAACCTGAATATCAGATAGTACTTTTAGAATGCTACGAGAAGTTTCCCATCTTTTTGAGTTTAATAAATCAAGTCCTATATATCCAGAGACTGGATCAACTGAAAAGTAAAAAATGAAGCTATAAGAAATTAAATCACATTAAAAAAAAAACTGACTAATATAAAAATTGAAAAAAAATATAGGTTCACAATAAGGACTTCTTAAGTAGAAAATCTTGCTTATTTTTCTAATGAATGCGATAAAAGTGCCAACAAATTTCTTTTCAATGTTCAACATACAATTTCTTAACAAAAGTATTTCATCACCTCCTGTGATTTCTTATATAAAGAATGCATGATCTGATTTTGATCTAAATCCTGTCAGATTTTTACAATGTTATATGCCTCTAATTGTGTGTCACACTTTAAATGAAGCTTTGTTTTCCTCTATTTTAATATTTTTTGCCATAAAAGTTTTACACTTAAAAGAAACTTGATTTTCAGACACACTGTTAACAAAGCTTTTTATACCTAATCTAACAGCAGAGGGTTTAGCATATTTCTTTTCAGGTTTTAAATCCAGATTTTGTTTTTTTGCATTATCCTGCTTTAGTCCAAAACAGCAGACTTTCCAACAAAGCTGCAGCTTTTAAGTATACACATTACTGTACTCAAAATGTACTAAAAATGATGACTATTAACTAGGAGACACTTTGGTATGTATCATATTCTTCTACTTTCAACATAAACACTAATCTAGCAAGTAACATAAAAGATTAAAGATCTTACCATTTGGGTGAAATGGAACAGTGTAAAAAAATACTTCAGGAGGCATTTCATTATATTGTTCCCCAAACTTCAGAATTAAAATAAATATCCCACCTGCAATAAAAGAAAAATAAAATGCAGTTAATTTAAAAGAATGAGTGATTTTTATTACTTTTAAATCAAATATTTTTCTTTGATCTCTGATGACTGTGTTGTGCTAGATATGAAACATTGACCTCATTTAAACTGAATGAAACATAGAACAACATAAATATTAATTGTTCAATTTTTCCATATCGACATTTGCCTTGATAAAGTCCTCCAGAGGAAGAAACATGTCGACTAAAATAAGTTTTCCTTTTGTCTTTATTCATTTGAGTTGAACTCAAAACAATGAAAATTAAATGGAAAATTTTCTTTGTATTTTTATTACATTTAACAAGGCAGCAGTCACTTTAAAATTTATACTGTTAGAGTAAACTGAGGATACTGTTATCAACTTTTCTAAAGATGTCTCTAAAAAAAGGGAAATTTTAATACTTTCTTTATTTTTTCTGCTGTATATTCAATTGGTAAAGAAACTTGTTATGTTGTATATCTCGCATCATTCTCCTTTCCTATATATTTCTTGAACTCACTACAATATGTTGACTTACCACTGAAACCTATAGGCACAACTCAACATACTAATCTTATTTTTTAAAGTTAATCTGATGTACAATTGACTTTGACTGTATAACAGTCACAAAAGGAACTAATCCACTTTATCAAAAATATTGATAAACTGTCAAATGATTTTTGTACTTGATTTACCTGATTTTTTTTTTGTTTTTTCTTTTATTATCTAAAAAGTCTCATGTTTTCTCGAAAATAAATTTTCATTCATTCATTACAAAATAATGAAACAGAAATGAATTTTGTTGCTTCAAACAACTACTATCTATTTTGTGGCTGAAATGTTATATATCTCTGACCATTGCCAAATGTTAAGTGTCTCTTATGTTTTAGCAATCAAATGGTTTTTGGTATACACTGGATTAACTTCTTTAGATTACTTTACCTAGCCACTTATTTTTTTCCATAAAAATAAATAAAAAATGACATATAACTCAAATACTATGTCCAATAAAACTTAGTATTTGTAAACATTTGTGACTAATATATAAAAGAAAAATAAATAAAATGAGCTTCTTAACTTCTTTGCCTATGAGAAATCTTATATTGGAAATAAAATAAAAACTAGTGTCTAAAATGCAGTATAATTTCTTTCATCTAACAAGTATTTCTTTTTGGTGAGGGTTGATACAGCACAATTTTCCAACTTCATTTGGCCTTGTGCCATACTAAGCTAGACTGTGTACTACCTACATTTTAAAAATTTGTCTCATATATAGCAGAAATATTGACTAAAAACTGTTGGCAAAATCCTAGTTTATTATTCACATACATTTGACTCTAAAGGTTTCGCCAAAGTGTTAGGCTTAAAACTGGATGTGGGATTATTTAATTTGAAGTAAGTTATATTTGTAGTGGATGTGCAGGTGATGTAATGAATAGCATCTCAGAATGAGAAATTGGAGACCTGAGTTCAAATCACAGTTGAGTTCATTACATTCACTCATGTGCAAACACCCTTGGAAAAGGCATGAATCCATTTCTCCTCTCAGCTATGGGTTAAAGCAGGGCAGACTGGAATCTCTATCTGTGGTTGGCAACCAGTCTAGGAAAGGGACAACTCTGAATTAAAAACTGTAACAATTTCCCATGGTCCCTGATCCTCAGCAATTAGGATGGGAAGAAGCATGATATTTGCAATGCAAGTTAAGATTTTACCAAATTTGTTAATGTAAATCTAAATGATGTGGTTTAGTGATAATTAAATAAAATTAAAGGTTGAAGAAGAAAAATGGAAAAAATACCTTCCCAAATTGATCCTTGGTTTCCTTTTATTTTAACTGTCCATTCATATACGTCATCAGGAGAAATTAAATCAATTTCAATTCCCTTGAAAATGTGAAAAGAAAAATCCAATCATAAGGAAAATATTTGATTCCACCTGTTAGAGATGAAATTTCAAAGATACAAAAGCAACAAAATAAAAAACAAACAGAATGAATGAACTGAAGAGAGCTTATATAACAACAGAGGAGAAAAATGTATAGTACACCAAAAATGGATAGTCCCACAATATTAAAGTCCATGATTGTCAGCATTGACCAAGATGAAGAGGAAGAGAGCAGCAGGATTAAGTGAGATTGTAATAGAGATGTTAACATTCTTAGACTATTTTGAGACTGATAATGAAATATACAATAGTGATAAAATACCAGAAGACACCAGTAAAATCAATATTTATTGAACTGCCAAAAAAACAAAAAAAAAACAGCTACCAATGAATGTGAACTCCACTGGAAAATCAGCTCAAGGAACTCTAATCATTAGTATTTTAATGAAAAGAGTTTGTAAAAGAATTAGACCAGAATGAACTTTGAGCTTTGTTCAAGACACTGGAACAAGAAATGCAATTTATATGATCAGAATGCTATCAAAGTAAGCAATCTGTGCAGAAAGATCTATACCTCTGTTTCATAGATGACAAGAAGATGAGATACTTGACAAAGTCCAAAGAACAGTCTGTAATATTACCAATCCTGACTTGGCATCTTGGCTTCAATCACTTTTCTCTCACTGTAACATAGCTCCCCTATGTCTTTTAAATATTTGTGTAAATATTTTCATAGTATTAGGTTGGTGCAAAAATAATGACGTAATAATGTCGTTTTTTGACGTTAAAAAATCCGTCAAAAAACGACATTATTACGCCATTATTTTTGCACCAACCTAATAATTGAGCTTTTCTTCTTGGCACCTCAGAATTATGAATTTAAAAATTGTGTTTGTTGGTTGACAACTAGGTTTCAACATTATACTGTTAAAATTAACTAGATGTAATGGTAAGTTTTATTCTAATAGTTTCTTCTCTTGTATTGCTCACCTGTGGAACTCTCTTTTGGATTTTTTCTTTCCTGTCAACTACAATCTTCAAAAATTTAAACACAACCTCAATCGCCATCTTCTGTCTTTCTGAATCCTGTTCTTTTATTGTTCTTTCTCCTCACTAATGTTTTCTCATTTTCTTTCACTCTCAATAATCCCTTCCATCTTAGTGGCATTTTAGCCCTGCTATATAGTCTTCTATCTGACAGTGAATGCTGGATAATTTACTCACAGATGGAAAAAAAAAATAAAGCAGTAGAGATAAGGTTTGTTGTGGGTACTATCCTTTTCTTAGCTAAAGCTTTGAAAGGTAACTCCCTAAACTACATTGAAACAAAGACACATTGTTATACTGCCTGAAAGTAATGAGTGATGTCTGCTGCTCGCATTAATCCCAATAGTTACAGAAAGCAGATTTGGAGAGAAAGAGAGAGAAAAACAAATCATGCAAGACTGGGTGCAACCAGTAAATAAAACCAAACCATCGATACAGAAAAAGAATTCATAACAAACAATAAGAAAGAAATATACAAGTGTAGGTGATGTATAAAATGTCTGTACAATTGTATGAATCTTTTCAGGATTATGAAATATGTCTTGGTTGTGAAGAATGCATTTTAGGAGATGTTAACATAAAGTTTTTCTACAATGAGAAACTGTTAAAAAAAATCACCTTGTCACCAATGTCCAGAGAGAAAAATAAAAAAGAGAAAGAAAGATCTATCTGCTCCTTTTTATATGCTCATATGAGTGATTCTCATACATTCTGCAATAGTTTAATGTAATGTCTGTTTTTGATCATAGAAATAAGCATGGCATGCAGATTTTAATTTTCAATGAACTCCACAGGTTCTATCGATGAATGTTGAGAGTAGAATGGATAGAACTTGTAAAAAACAAGAAGTTTTAAAGAGAATATGAATTCCAAGGTAACAGCTGCTAACAATCAAAGAAACAGCTGAATTTTTTTTTTTGGGGGGGGGTGGCACATAATGAGGAAAGAAGGCTTAGAGAATTTAACGTTCACAAGGCATATTTAAGACAAGAGAATCAAGACAAGAGGAAAGAGGGAGTAACCTATTTAATGAGTTTAAGTAAATGCAAAGCAGAACAAGGATCACAAAGACAGTGATGGTAAAGGTGGAAGAAGGACTTACAGCAGGAAGTTGTGGAGATTTACGATTACCCATGTCCTGAAGGGATATGGCAATAAAAAAACAAGACTAAAACGAATTCTTTTTATAAGTTATATTTGTTTATGAATTTTATTTTTATGAAGGCCACTTCAGTGTTACAAAAGTTACATTTGTTTTGGCATCTTGTCATTAAAAAATTGATTCTCACTGAGTGCCTCTTACTTGTAGCTTTGTGTGAGAACTAAACTATGCTTTGTAAATAATGAGCACCTCAAGATGGGGGTAAGATAATTGACCTATAGGATCTAAACCCTATATTGTCTCAAAACATAGGCTCCAAATTAAATTACACAACATAATTAGATTGGTTCAAAAATATCACATGGAATATCATCGACTATGTCTGCACATTTGACCTTAATTTGACCTGATCAAAGGTACAGTTGTGTCAAAATTTTAAAACATTTTCTGGAGCCTATCCCATGACTTATATTGCTTATATAAACAACAAACTATTAAGAAACAGAGAGTGGGGAAAAATCAGCCGAAAAAGCTACACACAATGTAACGACATTCATCATAAAATAACTTTCAACTGAAGTTCAGACTATAAGTTAAAAATCCTTTTTAACATAACTGCAGTCTATTTTCTTCATTCAATGCAAACTAAACTCACATTGGCAAACTACGAAGTGACAGACACTCAAATGTCAAACACAACGTAAGTTACACCCACACACACTTTTCCCACAAACTTTGAACTGTTTATTTTGAATACAAACAATTACATTGAACTGAATTTTTCAAAATTCACACAAATTACCCTACAACTTGCAGTTTATCAAACTGGAATATTACCTTACACAAAAACAACATTCATAACTATTGTTTTGTACATTTGTTATATAAAAAATCTATTTATCTGTACAATTTCTCTTCTCTGAATTTTCTTGTTTCTTCTTGTTGTTAGTTATTATTTTGTGGCATTGTGTCTCTAATATGAAATAGTGAGGGCAATTGACCCCCACAGACCATAACTACTAAGTAGCAAACCCCATCTTTACTTGGAGCCCCATACGTGTTCGTGGGCTTGTGCCAGACTAAGCTATTGTTTCATGAAAGGCATATTTGCTTTTAACTAGTTTTTTCTTTATTACCATAATTTATAATGAAAAACAGTTTTATCTTACATTAAAATAGTATCATTTTTTCATTCTCATTTTAAAGTTTAAATTCTATCACCTCCCTTAAGGGTTTTTGAAATCATTTATCCACACGATCGCACACACAAGATTTGACACAAGCTCGAGTTTAAAAGTGATGTTTCGATAGTTGTTCAATAATTGCTCAAGAAATTCAACAGAAAACTTGTAAAAAGCGTTACCTCATACGGCTTCTCTTTTAAATCCTCAAAGTCCCTTTGAATCAGGAGATTTGCTCGGGATAACATTATTTCCTGCAAGTAACTTAAAAAATAAGTGAAATATTCTGATTTTACACAATGTTTAGAGTAAAAATTGGTTAATTTTTTAACAATTAAGAAAGACACACGTTTTGCTCAACTGTAATGATTGCGGCGGCCATGTTTACCATAGTAACGGATCATCAAATTTCCGTGAATGTTCGGTTATATCCGGAATTATGAAGCGAATTGTGCCTGCTTTCTTTGTCTCTCAATTCTTTCAACCTACCTGTTGATCTATTTCAGTATTAGTGTCTCTACCTATCTTAATAGCTGTCAGTCAGTGTTACAATATATTCCAACGGCGTCAACTGTCAGTATTCAACCCCTGATAAAAATATGGTGTTTAAGTTTAATCAATGTGTCCCTCGACCACTAAATGTGCCAAAAAACAGTAAACTAAAAAAGTTAAACAGTAAAAAAACTAAACACTAAGTGTTGGAGTAATAAAAAAAAAGAAAGAGTAAGACTCAGTTTGTGCTCTCTGAATGATCATGATTTTTTAATTTCTTTGGAAAAATAAGGTTTTTAACGTTTTAGGTAGTTTTACTTTTTTAACTTAATGTTTAAACTGAACCTTTTTACTTTGTGTCCATTTATGAAAACTCGAATTTATTTTTTCGTTTTTTTTTTTTAGTCCATTTTTAGTTAGTATGAAAGTCTAAAAAAAGTTCTATTTTTTATGCAACTAAAAACTCATTTTGTGGTATTACGAAAACCTTAAATTCCCAACCCTAGGTTTAACAATCAATTTAAAAATAAACATTTTTCTTTTTTGGCTTCCAAGTTCAACTTCCATAGTTTACCCATAGTTACATAAAGAAGGGCACAAGATCAGCGTTCAGTTTCGCAGTAAATTAAACATTCAAGGCCATAATGTTGTTCAGACTGGCATTGTACACACACACACACACACACGCGCGCACACACACACACACACACACATGCACACACACACATTGGAAATTTTATTGGTGGTACAAAACTTTATAAGCGCCATAAAAAGACAAAAGTAAAACTTTTAAAAAAAATATTATCAGATATGATAGACAATTAAAAGAAAAAAAACTAAAAAAAAAAGCTAACTGGTTTCGAACCTCGCTCAACAGAGCTAAATCGAGGTTAATATATGTATGAATTATCAATAAAATAGAATGGGAAATGCGAAGAAAAAGAAATAAAAAGAAACCACTTGGAGGTAAAGTACAAAATCCTTCTGCTTGCAAAGAGGAGGTTTCATAGATTGAATGTATATATACATTGTAGTGAGCGTGACATGACAATAACTCCCCTCATCCACTCCTTCTAATTCGGAAGACTGAAGAAAAAGAATGAAGAGAATTTGTGAGTCTATGTGAAATTTTCTTTGGGCCAAAGAAAACCTTCCCATCACAGAAATTAGTCGGTCAGCTGAGAAGGAGAAGAAAAGAAAGTAGCGAGCCTATGCGAAATTCTTTTTTATACAAAATGAAGGGAAAATTAAAGAGAAGAATATTTGAAGTCATGTGAAAGGTTCCGTTTCAGTTCCTCACAACCAGCATTGAAGTACTTGCAAGTGTAAAATTATTCCTGTTATATTCTCAGCCTTTAACCAGCTGCGGCACTTCAACGAATGTTCTTTCAACAATCCAAGAAAGCTAAGTATTTCAAACTATCCCTTTTCGTCCACTTTTTAACGTATGCAAACCATGTAAATAAATTCCTTATCTTGTTTTATTAAAATTACCCGTGTGTTTCCTCTCATTATTATCCTTCATTAATCTTCTTGGCGTGGGTAAATCAACTGTTTATTTTAACCCCTAATTTTCACGCCACTATACTGTATTTCAACTCTCCACTTTAGAGCAATTTTGCTAGTTTTCAATTTAAAATTTCACACCAGTTTGTTCAGACGGAATAGCCGACAGAAATCACCTTTCCGAGTGTACCAGCGTGATAATTCTAACCGCAACGGAGGGCTATTTGTGGCTGCTCGAAAGTCTTTGCTGATAGAATGAAGTTCAGTATAGCTTCTAACAAGTTTGGTTCATGTAATTATTGACAGCATTATAATAATGTGTTAAATAAGAGCAAGTATTATCCCTCCTCTCTTCACTCAATATGAGGTGTTAACATTTGCTGATAAGGCAAAATGTAAATTCTCTTTAAATTCTACTCTTGACTCATCTGGAATATCTTTGCCTGACTTTCTTCTTAGAAGTGAGTTTCTATTGAGCGATATGCATATAACTATATCCATGTTTTCTGCTCTCATTTCTAAACTGGATACTCACAAAGCATGTAGTCGATGGTATCCCGGCAATAGCCCTTAAGAAATGTGCTCTTGAATTGTTTTCTGTTCTCTTTAAACTCTACAATAAATGCCTTGCTGCTTCTTGCTTTCCTGCTTGTTGGAAATCAGCGACTGTAGTTCCAGAATTCCAACGAACCATCTGGTCATTCTAACTATTGGCCTATTAACCTTCTACCGCTTTTTGGGAAATAACAAGAAGCTCTAATTAGCTCTGAATTGGTTAAGCATTTCACATCATAAGTAATATGGCTTCTCTAGGTCGACTGTTGATGTTTAAACGATTAATGCCGAAAGAGTTTATCAAGCTTTAGATAAGAATAGTGAAGCTCGATCTGTTTCTTTGGATATATCGGGGGCATTTGACAGAGTCTGGCATACTGGTCTTCTTAACAAGTTTAAAGTTTATGGTATTCTGGACAAATTTTTTAACTGATTCAATCTTTCTCATCAAATCGCGAAATGAAGTTTATCTTTAATGGCCACTCTTCTAGATCTTTCTCCATAAATGCAGGTGTCCCCCAGGGCTCTATCCTTGGACCTACGTTGTTTCTAATTTTCATAAATGACCTTCCTGATGTTATCAGTTCTCAACTCTGTATCTATACTGATGACATAATTATTTACTCTCGTCTTAATAGTAAATCTGATCAGTTCGATAAGGTCAAATTGGCAGCTGATCTAAAAAAAATGACCTACAGTCTGTTGCTAAATGGGACAAGGAGTGGCTTGGTAATTTTAACATCTCAAAAACGTAACTGTTCTTTTTTAATCATCTGAAAGAACCGTTTTTACCTTCCATCAGTATGATAATCTCTAGGAGAGTGACTCATTGCACCATCTTTGACTAACGTTTTCAGCTGACATGAAGTAGAATAAAGTATATTGAATCAATTGCTCAGTCTTCAGCTAAGAAAGTTGATTCACTGTGTCGTGCTAGATAATTTTTCTCGCCAGAATCTATTTTAAATATTTATATGTCTACCATTCGTCCTTGCTTTGAATATTGCTGCCATATCTGGTTTGGTGCTCCTGTTATATATTTAGAGATTCTTAATAAAATCCAAAGAAGAATCTGCAATATTATTGGTCCTGACATGGCATCTCGGTTTCACTCCCTTTCCCACCGCCGTAACGTAGCTTACCAATGCCTTTTCTATAAATACTTTCATGGTAATTGTTCTGATGAACTTTCCGCTATGGGACTTATACTTTATGAATTTAAGCACTAGGTTGTTGGCAAGGTCTCCTCATTTTACATTTGAAACAGCTCGATGTAACTGTAAGTTCTATGATAACAGTTTCTTCTATCACAATTCTCGCTTGTGAAACTCCTGCTTCCAATCAACTTCGTTCTTCAAAAATTTAAATGCAGTCTTTATCATCTGTCTTTTTGTTCTTAGTAGTTTTTCTCATATTCTCTAACACAATTACATATCCATATACAGTGTAACCCGGATATAACAAAGTTGTCGGGACCGGAGAAGAAGTCTCTTATATCCGGGTTTCTCTTATATCCGGGTTTCTCTTATATCCGGGTTTGGTCTGTTTTATATACATTAACACAGGCTCTAATTTGGGACCAGAGAAAATCTCTCTTATATCCGGGTTTCTCTTATATCCGGGTCTCTTATATCCGGGTTTAAAACACACCACACTTTAAACATGCCAAAAAGATTCCAAATACATCACCATTTAAATCAATATGTCTATTGGTTAGAAATTAATATCACTTAGTACAATATTTGACCAATCAGAGAAAACTAAAAACAATTTTTTTACGAGCCCACTTTCGGGAAAAATGTCTTATAAAACCCACAGATTACGACATTAAAGCAGAGACCAAGCCGTTCAAACCGCAGAGATACGTGACTGTCTCCACGTCATGGCTATTTTTAGCGTTTTCTGATTAAAAAAAGAAAAAAAAAAAAACGTGATGAAAGAAACATATGTTAGAAACTTCAGGTGAATCATCTCCACCGACAACAGTATGGCCGGTCAATCGGCGACTTCAAATGAACCATCTCCAACATAAAAAAATAAAAAAACAAAAACAGCCAATTAATTTTTGCTAACGATAAAATTATTTTTTTCAACCAGTTTTGTTTTGTGAATCAAACGTCTTGTCTATGCCACAGTGATTTCTGTGAACCAAATACACAAAGACTTTTGAACTCAACATAAAAAAAAAATCATCAGCTTACAGCAACATCACATTGAAATACCAGTTCTCGTATGATCACCGAAGTTAAGCAGCTTCGAGCCTGGTCAGTATCTAGATGGTTGTCTGAAAATAGCAGGGTGGTGTAAGTTTTTAGATGTGCGGGTGGTGTAATGGATAATCGCTCAGAATTGTTAATAATTAGAGAGCCGAGTTTCAATTTCATTTCAGTTCCTTATATTCACTTACGCGCAAATAACATTGAGAAAGGTATAAATCCACCTTTCCTCTCCTCAGTTATAGGTTAATTAATAAAACTTGTATCACTAAAACCATTATTATAACCACCACCACCACAAAAAAAAAAAAAAATGGGTCCAAAATATTTAGATTTTGGTATTAAATTACCCATAGAGGTTGATATGTCGCTAAACAAAACAACCAGACAATTAAAGACTATTTTAACTTTTTCAGATTCATGTATATATTTGTAAAGCCAAATTATTTATTTAACAGACATGTCCATGTTTTCTTTAT